GGGGATTCTAGGCGGGGCTCCACCCTGACCACGCCCCCAGCCCCTCAATGGGGATTCTAGGCGGGGCTACACCCTGACCACGCCCCCAGACGCTCACTGGGGGATTCTAGGCGGGGCTCCACGCTGACCACGCCCTCTGCTCCTCACTGGGGGATTCTAGGCGGGGCTCCACCATGATCACATCCCCCAACCCCATATTCACATTTTCTTTTAACACGAGGTCTTGCTGAGTTGCACAGGCTTGAGTGGAATTTGAAATCCTTTTTCTGCAACCTCCCAAGGAATTAAAATTACAGTCCTCTGCCACCATCTCTCCCTCAAGTTTTCTTTCTGTTTCCCCCATTCTAAAAGCAGAGATGGGCTCAGGGAGGGACGTGCTGGGATGTGACTCTCCTCCATTATATGAGGTCCATCTGCACTGCCACCAGCTACCCACCCCGGAAATAAGTGACTATGAAGGTCACTGGGAATTGACTTAGATCACGGGGGTCACCTACATTACAAGGTTCAATCTGAAGGTCGGGCGTATTGAGAACGGCCTGCACGTTCACAATGCACTTCTGGAAGTCAAACGCTGGGAACTGTGGGTCAGCTACCGGCGTGAGGACCTCCAGCATGCCAGTGTCGGTAAAAGAGATGCCTGTTTCTTCAGACCAGAGAGGCTGATCCGGCAGCTGCGGGGAAACACACGTCTGAGGCCCGACGCTTGCCCTTCCGTCTTTTCTTTGGGTTGTTTCTTCCCACAGAGTCTTACTCTGTAGTCCCATCTGGCCTCACAAACACAGTAATCCTCCTGTCTCAACCCTCCCAAGAACTGGGGATGAAGTGTAGACTCAGCATAGCATGCCCAGCCTACTACTTGAAAACAACAAACATGTTACTATATTTATTTCCTGTGTGAGTGCACCCGTGGTGGAGGCTGAAGGAAGGACATGGCAGGAGGCAGTTCTCTCCCTCCACCACGTGGGTCCCCGGGATTGAACTCAGGTCCTCAGGCTTGGTGGTTGGGGCCCTTGTGATCCCCCGCCCCCGGCCCCCGGGGCTCTTCGGCCGGTTGCTGAGTGTGTATGAAGGTAACGCTGCTTGGGATGGTGCCTCAGCCACACCAGGCAATCACTCTCTCTGGAGCGACCACCTAGTCGCTTCCTATGTGTATTTCACTGTTTTTCTTTGTTCTGTGTGTGGTCTGGGGGCTTGAGCCTGGGCCCTGGTACTGATTAATTTGCTTGTAAGGATCACTGTGTAGGATGGGTCTCAGTGGGTAGAGTGCTCGCCTAGCATGCACACCTCCCTGGGTTCCACGTGCAGAATCCCCCAGCACTGGGCATGGAGGGGCCTGCCTGCCAGGAGCACTCTGCAGAATCACGACTACATGGTCATCCTTGGCTATATATGGAGTTCGAGTTCAGCCTTAGCTACCTGAGGCCTCGCCTCAAATCAAAACGACCTTTCAGTCATGTGATGCCCAGGTTTTGACTAAGGGCAGGGTCTATGAAGGAAGGTTCACATCACAGCTATTGGCTGAGGACTGAGACATACTTGGACTAAGGTGGTTCCCAGGTAACCCTGGCTCCCGTAGTATACAACATTTTCCCGTGTCAGCAAAGCCAGCTCATAAGTATCTAGGAAAGAGAAAGCAAAGGCAGAGATGAGGCCAGGAGCTGGGAAAGGTGCGAAACCCAAGGGCCAGTGAGAGGGTTCCACAGGTAAAGGAGTTTGCTGCCGAGCCGGAAGACCTGAGTTTGGTTCCCGGGACCCACAGTGGAAGGCGAGACTCAGCTTGCATCGATGGTCTTCTGACCTCCACACATTCACCCAGGCACACATGCAAACAGCCTCACACCCACGGCTGCAAGAAGTAAGCAGATGTAAGAGACAAGCAAAAGGCAAAGATCAGTCACCCTCACTGCAACCACCCAGCGTCAGGGGGCCAGAGGCCAGTCACAGCCCAGCTGAGGAGGAGCGGGAGCCTCAGCCAATCACAGGCGTGCGTAGGGGCGGGGGGGGGGGGGGGGGGGGGGGGGGGGGGGCGTGGAAAGGCGGGAAGGCTGAAGGGAGGCAAGAGTCAGAATAAAAGCAAGTCACCCGCGACAGGTCAGCCACATACTGGAGGCGATGCTGTGGATGTTGATTCCCATGTCAGAGATATTGGGGGTAACGATTGTGTTCCCCCTCCACAGCTGCACGGTTTCGATGATCTGGCCTAGGAGGAGACAGGTGTCAACGGGGATGAAGTGTGTCCCGCGCAAGCGCACCCACTGCTGGGCTTGGGGCCTCCCTGCACGGCCCCCACCCCTCTCCTCTCATTCACTGGTTTGTTTTTTGATTTGGGTTTTCATTCACTGGGTCTTTAAGGCTTGGCTTTGGTTTGCTATTCAAAAGCCCAAGGAGAGAAACTCGACAGACACCTGATCTTTCAAAACACAAGGGACACGTGAGCTCTGGTGAAATGCAACCGCTCCGAGTCTCTTTGGTAATGGAGCTCTGAAAAGTGACAGCTGGACTCGGTAAGGAACAATGTTCCATGTTCACGCAGTGCATGTCACGGGGTATCTATCAAGAATAAAACTGCCTCAAGGCTGTTGACCAACCAGCAACGTGGTGCTGAGCACTGTGTGTGTGTGTGTGTGTGTGTGTATGTGTGTGTGTGCGCGCGCGCGCGCGTGTGTGTGCACTCCTGACCTCAAGGAAACTAAAACCTAGGAGTGGAGGAGCACCTAGGAGGTTGAGGCAGGCGGATCCAGACTTCTAGGCTTGTCTGGGATACAAAATGACCTTAAGGCTATCCCAGTCAACTTAGTAAGATTCTACATCAAATTAACTAAGAGGCTGGGGGCGTGGTCAGAGTGGAGCCCCGCCTAGAATCCCCAGTACAGGCCTGCCTTCAGACCTTCAGCACCTCTCTAAAAATCTATCCCAGCTTATAATTCTAGCAATATGGAGGCAGAAACAGGTGGATCACCGGGATTTGCTAATCAGTTCCAGGTTGGGCAAAATTATATATTTTTTAAAAAATATAGAAAAAAAGAAAAAAGAAAAGAATTGAGTAATTGATGAACACCTCTGGGCTCCATGTGCACAGGAACATATACAAAGATCTGGGTTCCCAGTCTAAATCCATCCCCATTGGTGGAGGCCTGGACAGGGTGTGGCTCACCTGAATTGGGGGACACCAACAGACTTGTCTGATTCCAGAGGACCAGAAACCCCCTCTGGCCTGGCTTGATGATGACGTCAAGAGGGTCATTGTACTTAAAGGGTATCCCTGCACTGTGATTCAGGGGGTGCTCCATGTAATGAAACGAACCCTGAGATAAGAGAGGTAACTGAGTCACTGTGACCCAGATCCACTGGGACAGTCTGTCCACTTCAACCAGCACCCTGTAGTGATATGAAGTCAGGCACTTCTCAAGTCAGGGAGGGAGCTCTCAGCCTGGGGAGCTCCAGGGATGGTTTTGGGGAGAGGCCAAGGACATGGCCCAGCCCCGGCCTTCCCAGGATGCCCCAGAGAGTGTGTCCTACAGTGAGGACTGAGAGTGCTTGTTTGTTTGTTTGTTAGGATTAAAAAAATTACTGGTGTGTGTGTGTGTGTGTGTGTGTGTGTGTGTGTGTGTGGAGCTGGAGTTGTAGGTGCTTGTGAGCCACCCAGTGCGGATGCTGAGAATTGAATTCAGGTCCTCTTCAAGGCTGGGAATCAATATCAATTGCTGAGCCACCTCTCCAGCCCCGATGGTTAGTCACCATGGAGATAAGCCTCCAGGGGCCGCTGAGAGGGAATATTTGGCCTCTGAATATGAATGTTGATTGATTAGATTAGTTGGGGTGGAAGACCTAGCCACGATGGGTGGCACCATCCCCTAGGTAGGTGGTCCTAGGCACCGAAGAAAGCTGAGCAAGAATGAGGCAGGAACTGAACTCCTCCACGCTCCGGCCCTGAGCTCCTGCCCTGACTTTTCTAGGTGACGGACTGTGACCTGGAAGTGTAAGCCAGATAAACCCTTTCCTCCCTGTCTTAGTTAGGGTTTCTATTGCTGTGAAGAGATGCCATGACCACAGCAACTCTGAATAGGGAAAACATTTAATTGGAGCTCACTTACAGTTCAGAGGTTTAGTCCATTATCATCATGTGGGAAGCAAGGCGGCATGCAGGCAGATGTGGTGCTGGAGAATGAGCTGAGAGTTCTTATATCTTGACCCACAGACAACAGGAAGTGACCTGACTCACTGGGCATGGTTTGAGCATATATGAGACCTTAAAGCCCCACCTACACAGTGTGTGTGTGTGTGGGGGGGTGGCACTCACCTTGGGAGGGGCAAACCACCACACTCCCCCAATGCCTTTTGGTCAAACTATTTGTCACAGCTGCAGAAGGAAACTGACAAAGGCCCACCCTCCCCAAAGCCTGCACCTTCAACACAGGCAGTGTCGTAGGGCAGCCGTGGGGCAGGTCACTGGGAGGGGCCACAGAGTCTCTTGGGGTCTGTGATGGCTTTGTGAGGAGACAACTGTGATTAGCTGGCATGGAGGGGCAGCAGGGATGCTCCAGGCCCCCGAGATAAGGATCTGGCCCTACAACCACACCCCGGAGCTAGGAAGGCCGGAAGTAGGCCTGCTCTGGAAACAACATGCTTTCCCACAGTACGTTCTGGATGCCATTCACTTTGCACAGGTTCCCTGTCTGGAGAGGGAGGCTGATATAACCTTCTTGACAAGGAAGAGATTGAGTTGATGTGATTTACGTCACTCCTCCAGGAGAGGGGCACCATGGAGGGCAGCGTGTGCTTGTGATGGGAGGCAAGGTCAGGACGATCATGAAATGTGACGAGCCTGGACCTCATGGTGAGATCCTGCCTGAAAAAAGGCAGCAGGAGCTGGAGGGCAAGGTGTGGCCCATGTCTTTAATCCCAGCACCCAGGAGGTAGAGTCAGGAGGATCTCTGTAAGTTCGAGACCAGCCTGGTCTACAGAGTGACTTGCAGACACAGCTAGGACTGTTACAGAGAGAAACCCTGTCTCAGAAAGGGGGGGGGGGGAGGCTAGGGCTGAACATGATGTCAAAGCAAAAAACCAAACAAACAAAAAAGAAAAAAAGAAAAACCAGCCAGAATGTCCATTGCCGTTTGCCTGGAATACAGAGGTCTGGTGAAAATGCAGACAGCAAAAGCTTCCCGAAGCTTCCCACGGTGTCCCTCCCCTGGGACTGAAAGGAAGATGCTCGGGCGCAGAGGTGATGGATCTGCTGAGGTCATGCTGCAGGGATACCTTATTTCAACCCCCATGTACACCTTCATGTCTGTGGGAGTGTCTGCCACCTGTGTGGACATGTCTGAAGAGACCGGAGACAGTGCCAGACCCGTGGACCTGGAGTCACAGGTGGTTGTGAGCAGCTGAATGTGGGTACTGGGAACAGGGTCTTACTGTGTGGATCAGGCTGACCTTGAACTCACAGATCTGCTTCTGCCTCCAGATGCGTGTGCCACCATGTCTTGTTCCCTGCCTTGTTCTTTTTTAGGCAGAGTCTCTTACTGGCATGGAACTTATCAAATAGACCAGGCTGATGGTCCCAAAGGCCCAGGGGATCCTCCTGCCTCCATGTTCCATGCTTTGGCATTGCCAGTGCGAGCCATCACATTTGGCTCTTTCCATGGGTTCTGGCAGGTGGAACTTGGGTCTTCACACTTGCAAGTTGGGCATTTTGCTGACTAATCCCAGGGGTAGAGTTTAAAGACCACGACTAACTTGTGGTTCTTTGTGTGGCATCTGTGTTCCCTTTCTGGAAGACATGAGGAGCAGTGGGGATCCCTGTGCCCAGTAAGCCTGCATTGGCTCTGAGCATGCTTGCTCTCTGAAGAGACAGTGTCTGGGGTGCAGAAGCCTGGGGCTCGGGATGCTGGGAATCACTCGGGATGCTGAGAATCACTCGGGATGCTGGGAATCACTCGGGATGCTGGGAATCTCTCGGAAGCATGAGGAGACTGACTGTGCGTCCCTGTCCTGGCATGTGCACCCTCCCACTCCAGGCCTTGCACACAGGAGCTGACCCCTCCACAAAGCCTGAAGAGAGGCTGTGTGGGACCCAGTAACCCTGATCAACATCACCATGCTGAGCTGGCTGCAGAGAGCTGGGCTGCAAGCCCAAAGCACTCCCTAGACTAAATGGGCTCATGCCCCAATGCAGCTTTTCTCATGGAGCTACCCCAGTAATGGGTCAAGTGTTGACTGCCATGACCTCCCTGTGTGGAGGGAGCCCTAAAGATAGACCATCTGCAGTTTTACAGCCCCACAGGCCAAGGGCTGATCATGGGGGGAGGAAAGGAAAAGTAGTAGGTAGAGAGTTACGGGGCAGAAAATCGCCTTCAAATTTCTGCTTTGGCTGGGGGTATGGACCATCAACAAAGCCCTGCATAGAACCTTCAATGAGGGGTGGGTGGGTGGGTGGATGGATGGATGGATGGATGAGTGCATGGATGAGTGGATAGGCAGATGGATGGTTGGGTGGGTAGGTAAGATGAATGTTCAATTGGGAGGGAGGATGGATGGGTAAGTGGGTGGGTGAATGGGTTAGTGGGTGGGTAGATGGATGAAGGTGTTGACTGGTGGGTAGGTGGGTGGGTGGATGGATGGTTAGCTGGCTGGCTGGCTTGATGCATAAGTGATACATGAATGGGCAGATGAATGGAAAGGTCAATGTATCTCAGATGCAGAAAGCACATTGCCTGCCTAGCTTGTCATGTCCTCCCATCATTTGGGAAATCGAGACAGAATGATGGGAAATTCAGTGACAATCTTGGCTACATGAGGCCCCATCTCAAACTAACTAAGAAAGTAATAGACAAACTAAAACATCCAAAAGAGCTAACTGCAGCAGTCAGAGACCCCAGCCCCCAGCCCTGCTCCCACGTCTCTGAGGTCACCTTACACCCAGCACAGTGTACTCACCAGTTTGTCTTTAACCTCAAGTATTCCCACCTGAGAGAAGGAGTGAAAGTGGAATACGCCTCCTAATGTCCCTTCAAGTCCATCCTGTGGAGCAAAGAGGAAATGGTGCGTGTGAATGAAATACATGTGACAATAACACATTTATCACTTGAGGCAGCACAGTGTCTTGCATTTATCTCTGAATACAATCTATATCACTCGTCAAGCTCAGGAAAGCAGATTTCCTGTCTCCAGAATGCAACAGCCATAGCAGAGGGCCAAGGCCAAGAGCTGTGTGGAGAGGACAGGGTGTCACACCAATTGCACTTGAGACCCAATTCTGTTGTCCACATTTCCCTGCTTCTTCAGCCCCACATTTTTCTAAGACACAGACATATTTTTTTAAAGATTTATTTATGTGTTTTACGTATATATATATATATGGGTGCTCTATCTGCATGTACGCCTGCACACCAGAAGAGGACATCAGATCCCATTATAGACAGTTGTGAGTCACCATGTGGTTGCTGGGAATTGAACCCAGGACCTCTGGAAGATCAGCCAATGCTCTTAACCATGGAGACATCTCTTCAGCCTGATACAGATATTTTTTAAAGATTTACTTTTTAGTTTTTAATCATGTGTGTGTCTATGTGTGGGTGAGCACAGATGCCATTGGAGACCAGAAGAGGTCAGATCCTTGGGGCTGGAGTTGCAGCTGGTTGTGAGCCATCTGATGTAGGTAGTAGGAACTGAACTCAGGTCCTTTGCAAGAGCAGCCAGTGCTCAAAAGAACAGCCAGTTCTCTGAACCAGTGAGCACTCTCTCCAGTCCTTCCCCTGGTTTTGACTGGATAGAAAGTACCCAATGGTTGAGGGTACTTACAAGCTCAAAACCCTGGGTTCCACACCCCATATCCCATAAACCAAGTTGGGGGGGTGGTATTTCACCCTAACACTTGGGAGGTGGAGGATCAAGACTGTGCAGTCTGTAGTGATACAATTTTATGAAATTATCTCTTGACAACACCCCCCCCCAAAAAAAAACCCTGAATTTTTGCTGGACCTCACAACCAAGCTCATAACACACACTGAGGTCACTTAAGACTTAAGGCTGCTTAGTGTCGTGCACTTTTAATCTCAGCACTCAGGAGGAAGAAGCAGGCAGATCTCTGAGTTTGAAGCCAGCCTGGTCTACAGGGTGAGATCCAGGACAGGCAGGGCCACACAGGGAAACCCTGTCTTGAAACATCAAGAACAACAACAAAAAGACTCAAGACTGCTGTCCTACTGTGTGCTCAGCCATCTATTCAACCTGCCTTCAAGAGAACAATGTAAGGCCAGGCGCTGGTGGCGCACACTTTTAATCCCAGCACTCAGGAGGCAGAGCCAGGAGGATCTCTGTGAGTTCAAGGCCGGCCTGTTTTCCTTCCTTGGTAGGTAGGACACCACATATTTTGGTGCCTCTGAAGTTTTCTTCCACAGGTTGACTGACACAGAGGTCAGTCAGATGCATAGCAAGTCTGAGGCCATCCTGGGCTACATGAGACCCTGTGTTAAAAACCAATTAAAAAGTAGAGTCTCAGGGCTCGAGAGATGGCTCAGAGGTTAAGAGCACTGGCTGATCTTCCAGAGGGCCAGAGTTCAATTCCCAGCATCCACATGGCGGCTCACAACCGTCTGTAATTTCTGTTCCAGGAGATCTGACACCCTCACACAGACATCAATGTACCTAAAATACAAATAAATTATTTTAACAAAAAGCAGGGTCTCTGTGATACGGTTTACCTACTAGAGTGCCACCCTGGCAGCAGGGTTCCCAAATACATTTTTCATATCCTTGTAACTTGGATGAAGTATCTGAGAAATTAAGCTATAATGGGAAATGCTGTGGGATGTTCTGTATGGCAAATGTGTTGCTCTGATTGGTCAATAAATAAAACACAGATTGGCCAGTGGCTAGGCAGGAAGTATAGGCGGGACTAACAGAGAGGACAAAAGAAAGAACAGGAAGGCAGAAGGAGTCACTGCCAGTCACCGCCACCAGGACAAGCAGAATGTGAAGATCCTGGTAAGCCATGAGCCACGTGGCAAGGTATAGATTTATGGAAATGGATTAATTTAAGCTATAAGGACAGTTAGCAAGAAGCCTGCCACGGCCATACAATTTGTAAGCAATATAAGTCTCTGTGTTTACTTGGTTGGGTCTGAGCGGCTGTGGGACTGGTGGGTGACAAAGATTTGTCCTGACAGTGGGCAAGACAGGAAAACTCTAGCTACAGGGAAAGGTGTTTATTTGTTTGTTTGTTTTTTGAGACAGGGTTTCTCTGTGTAGCCCAGGCTGTCCTGGAACTCACTCTGTAGACCAGGTTAGCCTCGAACTCACAGAGATTTGCCTGCCTCTGCCTCTTGAGTGCTGGGATTAAAGGCGTGTGCCACTGACCAGCAATGGGAAAGATTTCTTGCTAGTTATCAGCTGAGAAGTCACAGCTCACAGTCAGCCATGTGCCGAGGTTTGGTCCCCGGCAAGGCAGCAGCATGCGGAAGTGGACACTCATGTCCTGCTGGTCACCAAGCTGTGCTGGTGTCTCTTCTCAACTCAACACAAATCCAAACGTATCTGGGAAGGGGAATCCCAACAGAGAAAATGCCTCCATAAGGTTCTCCTGTAGGTGGGTCTGTGGGATGTTTTAGACCAAGCCAGACTCCAACTCATAGGTCCACTGTGGTGATACTTCATTTGTGCTCTAACAAAAAAACCTTGCCTGGAGATCAGAGGACAGAGCCAGCCACTAGTTAACCATAGAGGCCAGGCAGTAGTGGCACACACTTTTAATCCCAGCACTTGGGATCTCATGCCTTTGATCCCAGTACTTGGGAGGCACACACCTTTAATCCTCCCACTAAGGAGGAGGAAACAGGAACCAATATGGCTGGGTGGAGAGAGGAATATGAGACGGAGAGAGACAGGAGCTCAGCCCTTGCAGGGAAGTAGCTATGGCTTGTTCCTTTGTCTCTCTCACCTTTCAGCATTTACCCCTATATCTGACTCAGAGTTTTTATTATTAAGACCAATTAGAATTCGAGCTGTATCTGGAGTCCAACTTTTGGGGCATTTAAACTCCCGAAAAAGCCACTTGTCTGTGGCTTTGCAGCCACTGGCACTGGCCAGAGTTGCACGCGGCCAGAGTCACCCCAACAGCTAAGGTTTTCCTTTCTTTTCCTCAAGCCTCTGAGCGAGTTGGGATTTTTCTGTTGCGGCCTCTCTGCAGCAAACTCCATAGGCTTTGGGGCTCCAAAATCCCCAGGAGTCAGCCGCTTTCAGACATCCCCCCCCACCCCCAACCCCCACCCCCCCGCAGAGACGGCGGTCTCTTTGGCTTCTTCCCTCCCAGTGGGTTGTGGGATTTCTCTGGCCTCCCTCCCTGGGCTGCTGCCACACTAGGTAGCTGCCTTAAAAACTCCTTGGGCTTCTACTGTCTACACAGAGCACTCAGCCCCACACTTCACCATCATCTGAATTGCCATCATTGGCGGATTTGGTGACACAGGTGGACTTTTTTTTTTTTTTTTTTTTTTTGGTTTTTCGAGACAGGGTTTCTCTGTGTAGCTTTGCGCCTTTCCTGGAACTCGCTTTGTAGACCAGGCTGACCTCGAACTCACAGAGATCCACCTGCCTTTGCCTCCCGAGTGCTGGGTTTAAAGGTGTGTGCACTGTCCGGCTGGGAATTCTTAAAGGGCAGAATTAGTTAAAAGAGAGAGCTTTTTTCCACATTAAAAAAAAAGGGGGAAACACTATTAAAATGGAGGGAGTTAGGTCTTTGTATGATAATACGATGGATGGTTTGAAAATGGAGCAATTAAATGAGAGGATAATTAATTAAGATGAGATTTACGTAATGTCAATTATAAATATTATGTTTGATCATTTTTGTTTTATCACTAAAAAAGTTGGTTAATATGAGTGTTAAGATACAAGTTTTAGAAAAACTTATTAAAACAGATCATAGAGATATTCAGACCCAGACAGAGGAATTTAAAGGAGAACCAATCTCAGCATTGCATTATAAGGTTACAGAAGAGCAGCCTAAGGCTTTCAAACAGCCAACCTTAATCTATCCAGTAACCTTACAAGAACTGCCAAATGATAGATATTCCCAAGACTGTGTATGAGCTGAATGGACTCCTGTGCAAATGTTAGATTTGAAGAGATTCAAGGAAGTGATAGTCTCATACAGCATGCATTCACCTTTTGTGAAGCAGATGGTAAACTCATGGTCAACCTGTAATAAAATTATCCTGGAGAGATTTGGTTACAGCAGCCTTAGAGCCTGGTCCTCAATTACAGTGGAGGACCTGGTGGAAGGATGAGGCTGAGACCACTTAACAATGAAGTAGGGATGGAAGTAAGGAAATCTTTCAAGACCAACTTCTTAGAGAGGGAGATTATGCTAGGGTAGAAAGGCCATCTCTATATGATGACCACACCCTGGCTTTATGCCACACAGCAGCCTTGAATGCTTGGGACAGAATTGAAGAAATAGGAAAGAAAACTGAGTCATTTGCTACGGTTATACAGGCCCAAAAGAAACCTTCACTGATTTCCTACAAAGATTGACTTTAGCAATAAATAGAATGATACCAAATTCAGAAGCTAGGCAAATAATAATTGAATCCCTGGCTTTTGAAAATGCTAATGCACAATGCAAACAGGTAATTAGGATATTAATGGTGAGATCTGCACACTTGGAGGAATGGATCCGAGATACAATCAATATTGAATCTCATGACCATGATGATGCTTGGATAACAGAGGTGATTTCCAGAGGTTTGAAGAAAAACTAAAATGTCAAGTGTTTCAATTTTGGTAAACAAGGTCACCTAAAAAGGGATTGTAAACAGGGCATTTCCAGAAACAATGTTTTTATAAGAATAATCCCAACAGAACACCCCTCCCTTCTGGAGCATGCAGGTGTGGCAAAGGCAGACACTGGACTAACAAATGTAGATCAACAAGGGACAGACAAGGTAACCCTTTGCCAATGGGAAACACCTTGAGGGGCCTCTCACAGGCCCCATGTCAAATTCAGTTCAGTCATTTCCTGTCATTGTGGAGGAAACTCCTTCCCAGAGCAATTTAAGCACCTAATGCCTATTGTAAGAAACCATACTGCTCTGAACGACAGAACAGATATAGAAAATAAAACAAAAATTTAAGGACAAACCATAAATCAAGATTGATAAAGATTAGATTTGAACAAGAAAGACCTCTCAATTAAAAGAGATGATAGTTCATCAACCAGCACGACCATTCAATCTAAACTAACTTAGAAGACTAACGTGCTTTTCATTTGATCAGCTATAACTTGCCAAAAGGGAACTTTCCCAAAATTAGGGCTGGGAAGGGTTTTATTTTTGTCTTTTCAGGAGAATGAAGGCCAAGGAATCTAAAGAACACTCAACAAACGAGACATGTAAAGAAAAAGGATAAATCATCCAGAAAAAAATGTCCTAAGATAAAGAGTAAATTGGCCTATTAGTATATCACATCTCCAACAGGATGAAATTTCATAAATCTTCCTAAATGTTTGTTTGTGCTGTTCCTCTATAGACATATAATGCAAATGGTCTTTTTTGTAGCCCCAGTCCAATTAAAAATTAAAGCTGGGGGGCTGGAGAGATGGCTCAGAGGTTAAGAGCACTGGCTGCTCTTCCAAAGGTCCTGAGTTCAATTCCCAGTGGTAGCTCACAACCATCTGTAATGAGATCTGGCGCCCTCTTCTGGCCTGCAGGGATACGTGCAGACAGAACACTATACATAATAAATAAATCTTTAAAAAAAAAAAATAAAGCTGGCTTTGGAGTTGGAGTGCGGTTCTCTTTTCTCTAAACCCAAGCATGCTTGTTAAAATAAAATCCCCCCCCCCCGCAAAGAAAAAGAAAAAGAAAAAAAAATAAAATCGAAAATCTTTGTCTCATGTCAGAAGAACCACCTGATACGGGACAGAAGAAAAACCAAAACTAGGGACTATTCTATTTCCACTAATCTCATAATCCTTTGGTTGTATTTTGACTCTTTAAAGCTTTTCTTAAGGTATAAATATCTCAAAATTTATGAAATTAATATATATTGTAAATGTTTTGTCATGATATTAATGGTCATGTAGAGTACTAACTAGTTCTAGAAAAAGGCTTCATCTAGCTTCCTGTACGTGAGTTCAGGATTGAGCCTCTTGCAGGTAACTAGGAATTAAGTTTTTGTACTCTGAATGTACATAACAAATATTGATTCTTTGATCTCTTTGAGATCTGCTGCATAGGGCATTTAAAATGTTTAAGTCTTCTGCCATGAACCAAGACCACGCCTAACACAGCCAGCCATGGAGTAGGAAGGAAAGACAGATATAAAAAGCCTAGAGGCAAAATATAGTTAAGGAGAAATGGGATCATTTAAGTTAGAAAAGCCGCCTCGAAACAAGCCAAACTAAAGCTGGACATTCACAGGTAAGAATAAGTCTTCGTGTCTTTATTTGAGAGCTGGGTGGTGGCCCCCTAAGACTTAAAAAAAAACCCAAAAAAACACCACACCTTCACCATACAAAACTTTGGGGGAACACCATACTCAAATCACAGCTTTCCTCTCACAGAAAGGTCTTTCACATGGTTGTGCGCTTCTGTCATATGTCCTCCCCAGCTTCTCATTAGCTTCTTTTCAGAACACAGCTTTGAGATGCCGTCTTGGAAGTAAAGGACAGCCATGTTGGCAACAGAGTCAGCAGGAACCTGGAACTGAGATTTCCCAGCCTCCAGAATCATGAGAAATGAGTTTCTGTTCTGTTGTCTTTTGTTTGTTGAGACAGGATTTTACTCTATAGCCCAGGCTGGACTTGAATTTGCTATCTTCCTTTCTCAGCCTCTTGTGAGCCTTCACGCCACAGCTGGTCTCTGTTTCTCATCTGTCACCCACTCCTGGTTATTTTGTTATAGCAACCATAGAAAGTCTAAGACAGGCACCTTTTGGGGTCCTGACTGGACATAGATTTTGTTTTTGTCTTTTTCCTAATGTGTATGGGTGTTTTACCTGCATGTGTGTCTGTGAACCAAATGCCTGGTGCTAGTGGAGGTCAGGGAGGGTGACAGATCTCCTGGGACTGGAGTATAGATGGATGGGAACCCACAGTGGGTGCTGGAAATTGAACCTGGGTGCTCTGGAAGAGCAGCCACTGTGTGTGTGTGTGTGTGTGTGTGTGTGTGTGTGTCT